TCAGTATTAAAGATAATTTCTGTTCAAGTCTGCTTTGGTCTTCCAACAGTTCTCGATAAATGCAATATAATATAATATGTATAATACCTATGCAATATGCAGTCAACGGTTATTTCGTTTTCGTAAATCGCCGACGCATAAGGGTTGGGACTAGTCTAAATACGTCGGTACTTTACCAACTGTCCGTCGCTGTACCCGACCTAATCCGAGCAGCTAATGTGTCGGCGAATTACGAATATGCGCCCGGGCCGCATGTCTATATCTATCACGTGCTATCGCGAATCAAGCAGAATCGGGCGAGTTATCTATCACATGTCTTCTTAACTACTTAAGTAGCACACGCTATCGCGAAAATAACTTATTACTTTACACTTGCTCTTGTGCAATTTTGTAGCTGTGTTTTCCTTTTTATTTTGCAAAATAAAAATAACTGGAAATATGTGATCTTTCATTAGAACATTAAATTTGACAAAAAGGAAATTTGCTGTATTGTCACTGGATTTCTGTACCATCGAATAGAAATAGAACTAAGCTAGTTTTGTAGCATCAAAAAGAGCATGAAAAATTATACTGGCCAAACTAGTTAACTCAAAATCACAAAAACTCTAGTTGCCTAAAGGTTGTATTAAGGGGACGATAAGGCAGCTGAGTTACGAGAGGTGCCCGAAACTGCCACTTTTTTAAAATCACCCTGTAGCTCAGTAACTAAGAAGGCCATGACAAATCCTATTAGGGCATCTCTCATTTTGTCAAAAAAGTAGGCGACTATTGTTAAAAACCTATTTATAACGGCAACAAAACACATGAAAATGGGATACCATGTAGGTTGTTGAAGGTATTCGATTCGTAAAAAATATCTTATTATCGCACCCTGCATACGAAGGGCATAAAAAAATTGATATAGCACTTTAATTCAATTTGTTCTTGCTTCAAATAATATCGTGATTACCCGTGCTGGTTACCATGTGATAAATAAGAACTGCATTCGGGCTCGCTCGATTCGCGATAGCATGTGATAGATATGAAAATGCGCCCGGGCCTTTCGGCTACAGACCACAGTCTATCAATAAATCCAAACTTCACGTATTACGATTTTATGTAGAATATACGGCTGAAAGATATTTTTCCAAATTAAAGCTTGTCAAAAATTATTTAAGAAATACTATGAGCGAAAAACGGTTATCAGCTTTGGCAATTATTTCAATAGAAAATGAAGTTGCTCGTACAATAGACATTGGTAATATTGTGTCAACTTTCGCCCATGCTAAAGCAAGGAAAAAAGAATTTTAACATGTTTATGTTCCTATTTACATTGTGTATTTTAATTTAGTTAGTTTTGTTGTTGTTTGTTTTTTGTTTTTATTTATTATTTTTATTTAATTGATATTTTATATGTTTTGGGTTAAATATTCTGTGTTGCAGTAATAAATAATACCATATAAAAATTAATTTGATAATGTTATTTCTAACCTAAAATATGAGTGCATATTATTCAGGTAAGTATATAAGTATTGAAATATGTAGGTGTAATAGGGGGCCCGGTAAAAATTTTTGCACACAGGCCCGTGAGTCTGTTGTTACGCCACTGATCTGGGTTAATGGGATTATCTGGATATGGGAGGGGGTTAAAAATTTTAAAAAATCGTAACTCCAAAATTACAGTAGCTAGCGAAACGCGGTTTTCAAATTAAGATTAGGAATAATATTTGCAACAAAATTTGTAATAACATCAAAATCAGTCAAAGTCGCAATTTTTGAGATATTAACTTATTTTAGTATGGGCTGCTATACGCGCCTACCGGCGCCTATTTTTTTTCTATATTACTGTCCCGGCAAACGTTGTTTTGTCATATAAATTTTATTATGGGACAACAGTCATTTTTTATACGGATAATATTTTATGGGACAACAGTCATTTTTAAAATAAAAAATCTAAATTAAAAATTTTTTAAATTACCCTTTAAAATGTAATCCAATTATCAATTAACTAAACAAACATTAAATAGACACCTACAATTTAAAAAATATAATATGATGTCATACTTTTGGGGTATTTTCCATTTTTCAGTAGTAAGTACACTTTAGATAATTTTTATTAATAAAAAATCTTATTTTATAATACCTAAGTATAAACAAAATAAAATTTTCAGAATAGAAATCCCTCTATAGAAATAAAGTATCTAAATACTTTTAACCGTGATTATAGATTAAGAACAAGTAATTTTTAGAATTCTTAGAACTAAAATTTAGGTGAGTGGTTTTGAGAGTTTTATTTGAAAAAAAAAATACAATTTACATCAATCTATCTTTTGCAATAATACCATGTATAGATATGCAATACACTTAGGTATGCAAAGTATTTTAAGTTAAAGTACCACTTGATATACCGCAAAATCAAAATGTTTTTTGAAGACTTTGACAATAAGAAAATTGTGTGCACTATGTGCACATATTTGAAGTAAAACTTTTTCTTACTTCCGTCTGTCTGTCTATTCCGTCTGTCCGCCTGAGGAGTACATTCGGATACCTCTGTCCACGTGCCGAGTTGGGTTCCAATCGACCCATAATTAAGAAAAATCCTGATGATTTCGTCAATCGAGGCATCGGTTCGAAACATCGCGTCGAGGGCATCATCCTTTTCCCGTCCCCAATTATACCGAAATCGACCCACACGATTTTTCTTCAATATCAAATCGTTAGACTGATGAAGATGAAGATCACCCTGATGAAGATGTAAACGAAACGTCGCGTCGTATCTAACTTTGCAGGGTGAGACCGTTGCTCACATAGCATATCTCCCAAATTTGGTCGCGATCGGACGACATCGACGTACAACGAACGAATCAAGTCTCACATCGGACGAATCAACTTTTGACGTTTCTTAAATGAGTTTCTTACGTCAAAATCAACTGTCACAATGACACGTGTCATACACGGTCAAGTTGGCTTTGGACCAATCTATCAACATACCAAATTTCATTTAAACCGGACAATTTTTTGATTTGATTCATTGATGATGGGATTTCGTAGTACACGAAACGTCGACAAAATATCATGAAAAGATGGGGCTCGCAGATATACATTCCAAGTTTCATCCCCTAGCTCACATAGGGCCCGAGTTACGACGCGGACGCTCCAAAGACCCATTAAATCGGACGATTTTTCCGTAAAATATCATGAACAGACAAGGGTCTCGAGACCCATCTACATTTCGAATTTTAGCCCCCTAACTCACATAGGGTCCAAATTACACCGCTCCAAGATCGTTACCACTTTTCCTCTCGCGTTTCGAGTGTCACGACCGTGTAGACTCGTGCGCCACGGCCTTGAATTTTTACTCCCATCGTGCGTAAAGAAGTTTCACTTCAAAAGTCATGTCATTTTCTATTAGATTTGTTTATCTTGTGTCTTTCTCTGATGCTCGTGGACTTGCTGTAACAGAATGGGTTACCGCAAATGATCTCATCATAGCAAATCAAGGTAATAAGCCGACATTTCAAAGACAAAATGCAAGATCTATACTAGACTTGACATTCTCTACCTCATACGAAACAACCCTTATTTCTAAATGGGAAGTTAGTGATAAAGAGTCATTGAGTGACCACAATTACATTACCTTTGAAATTTCAACGGCACGTCCCGTGCGAGTACAAATTATGCACCAGGAATGGCAATTGAAAAAGCTCAACGCCGCTATCCTTGAAACTACTATCAACAACGTTTGCGGTAGCAGACTGCCCCAGACTGCAGAAGAACTTAGAGGTATAATGACAAAAATATGTGACAATACTATGCCAAGAAAGAAATTTTCCACTACTAAGAGACCTGTGCGAATACTCTACCTTAAAAACACGAGGATCATATCCGCTGAAGTTTTGCACCTTTGGGAGGAATACAAAGATGCAAAGAAAGCATTGACCTACGAGATTAAAGTCTCTAAGAAAAATTGTTGGAAAAACCTGTGTGATAATATTGACTGTGATATCTGGGGAGATGGATATAAGATAGGTATGCGTAAGTTGCTAGGTTTTCCTCCTAAACCATCGGAACTACTAAAGGCTACTGCTCATAACAAACCTGAACACGTTCTATCGGTATATAATGCATTAGCTCGGAAAAGTCAATTCCCATCGGAATGGAAAATAGGCAAACTGGTACTACTGAGGAAGGGAAACCAATTGCTGAACGAACCAGCATCTTTTAGACCACTCAGTCTCCTAGACGCAGAAGGAAAGCTGTATGAACACCTACGAACTAAGCTGGAAGAGGAAATTGCTCGCAAAGGAGGATTCTCAGACACACAATATGGCTTTCGTGAAGGAAGGCAGACTGTGGATGCTATCCTTAAGGTAAGGCAGATAGCGGAAGAAGCTGCTGCATACACGAGTAAGCATCGTAGACTATGTGCAATGATTACAATTGACGTTAAAAATGCATTTAACGACGCCTCCTGGCAAGTTATATTGAACAATCTGCAAAAGAGGAAAATAAATCAGTGTCTAATTGATATTATAGCATCCTACCTATCAGAGAAAAAATCATAATAGGGGCCAAAGGGTTACAAAAAACTGTGATGGTATATAGCGGTGTACCACAGGGATCAGTCTTGGGACCTATGCTCTGGAACGTACTCTATGATGAACTACTTAGGATAAAAATGCCAGATAAAACAACTTTAGTTGCCTTTGCGGATGACCTTGCCATTGTATCATGTGCAAAGGATGAAGATGTACTGATGAACACCGTCAACTTGGCAATCCAAAGAGTTGTAAACTGGATAGAGAAGAATCTGTTGACCGTAGTTTCACATAAAACTGAAGCAGTATTGCTGACCAGAAAAAGAAAAATATCCCCGGTACAGTTTTATATACAAGGAACTGTAATTTACCCAAGTAATTCTTTAAAATACTTAGGAGTGTGGCTGGATACCAAATTGAATTTTGCGGACCATATTAATAAAACAATCACCAAGGTCGAGAAGACTATCTTTAGCCTTACTCATGCCAAATGTAGGAGGTGCTAGAGCATCCAAAAGAAGAGTACTTGCTAGTATTGTACACTCGCAGCTGTTGTATGCTGCACCGGTATGGCATAAAGTCACAAACAATTGCAAGCTAATGCAAAGACTACGCAGAATACAACGCATTATGTCTATTAGGGTATGCAGCACATACAAAAAAGGATCTGGAGAGGTTATAGGAGTTATAGCTGAAATAGCGCTTATTGATCTGCTCATACAGGAACGATATGATAGATATCATGGTATGGATAAAAATCTAGGAAGGACAAAACTTCTCCAACAGTGGCAAGGGAAATGGAATAACGGAATATATGGCAGATGGACTAACAGGTTAATACCCGACATACAACTATGGTTAAACAGACAATATGGAGAAGTCGATTACTTCATGAGTCAAGCATTGTCTGGCGATGGTTTTTTTAGAAAATATTTATACGATCGTCCGTCGTAGGGTAGATAGTGCAACATGCATCTACTGCGGTCAAGATGACGATGTTAAACATACACTATTTGCGTGTGAACGATGGCAGGTCCTTAGGGAAGAATTCCGTACAGAAACCGGCAGAGGATTTTACTTACCCGCATTTATGATGTACCTAGTTAAAGGGGAAGTGCAATGGAAGCTAGTATATCGGATAGTCCGAAATATAATAAGTGGTAAAGAAATGGAAGAGAGACAGCGAACATCATAAATCTATAGACACCCTTTGCACTGAAGCAATGCGAGAGCGGATTCCAGTGTAAAGTGGTAGTTGGAGGAGGGTTTTTTCCGGCACTAATCAACTGTGAGTGTCTTATGCAAGATTTTTCCCTCCTCACCGGAAAAAAAAAGATTTGTTTATATCTCTGATCAAAATAAAGAATTTAACCTTAGAACAATACCTTCCCTTAATCAGTTGAATGTATTTTTTATCAGATACCATGTGAGTGCGAAAAATAGTGCAAAGGACAAAGACTTATACGGGATGTTCGAATGAAATTTTGAAGTTAAAAATTGCTCTATGTGCTACACATTTTAATGTTAAAAAAAGTTTCGGCATCCATTCGATTTGCCAGAGACGTGTATAAAAGTTATCACTGAAATATTTTCCAAATAAAACTGTACGCCAGTGGTTTTTAAAATGCCAACTAAAAGTCGTCTCCAGATTTTTTGTCGATTTCAATCTTCTTGATGAGATAAACACAATTTTATTAATCTGCCTTAAGCATGAAAAAAAAAGTTTCTATAAACATGAGTGCGGAAATAGAATATTGTGCAACTAGTGCGAAAAGCTGTCGATTGCAATGGGCAGTCGACAACTCGCACGAATTGAACATACTATTTTTTATTAGGTATGCGGGGATAATTTACATAAAGTTGACGCCAAAAGAGTTTCGGAAAGCTCACTGAAATATGTCAAAAACACCTCTTCAGAGAGACTAGTAATTCGTTGTGTTGCTCGCCAGTGCATATAATGTTTGTATGCTGATTCATATTTAATCCGTGATGTTGCAAGAGTCAAATTATTAATCACCTCATTTGCTCTTTTAAGAATTTCAGGCGGTATAGACTCATCATTTGGTGTTTCAAGAATTTCTGGCGATATAGATTCATTATTACTTTCATCAGTTTCCGGAATCCAGTCGGGATTATTACTCATGTTTTCTTTCTTTTAATTTTTATCTTAGCTTATTAAAACGCGAGTACAAAATAGTTTATTTAAATGTCAACCTCACTTCTTTAATATTAACACTTTGAGACCGTAGATAAAAGAAAATAATCTACCATTAATTCGAGACTGTCTTTTTGCTTGTCAATTTGCATGTGCCAATGAAAATTTGGGTGCGAGAAGTTTACTTGTCGCACTCAAATCGACATTAAATTTGCTCAAAACTCGTGTGGTAATTGTGAAGTGGGCAATTAGCGTCTTTTCGACTCCAAAAGAAAGCGAAAAGATACTACTTTCCCCGCATGAGATGAGTAATAAAAATTCATAGTTATAAAGAAAAAAATTTAAAAAAAGTCTTGTAATTATTTTAAATATCATATTTTTTTTATTCGAATTTGCTGGAGATAGCACTGATCAGTGTTTTAAATTTTAATGTAATAAATTAGATTAATTAAATAATTTATTAATAATTGTGATTAATAAAATTGCGCTTATCAAAAAAAATATGTAGCATTTATAGTAGAATTAGAATTAGAATTAGAATGAGTGGGAGGGGGGTTAATCACTTCGACCTTACAGATCCATTGTGTCCCCCTTTCTTGAATCATAACTCATCATACAGTCCCAGGGCTTTGACAAAAGCCAGTATCTGGGACGGTTTTATAGAGGGTAGTTCTCCATCTCCAATATCAGTCGTACCAAAATTCATGGCACGAATGGTTGTCGTCTCGGCGCACTCAGTGATGAGGTGTACTGGTGTTTCACCATCTTCCCCACAGAATCTGCATTCGCCGTTTCTTCTTAGTTTCAATCTACTGAGGTGTTCATTGAGGAGACAGTGTCCTGTTAAAAACCCCGTGACAATCCGAAGATTGTTCTTACTCAGACCTAGGAAGATCTGTGATTTTTATTGATCATAAGCCCTCAGAAACTTCTTCGAGTGTCCTAGACCATTGCAAGATTTCCATTCCAGGTTGCGGATGGAATCTTCCAAGTTCTTGAGTTCCTCCTTGAGTTGGTTACCACTTGGAAAGCAGAACGGTTCTGGTCCAGTTAGTGGAGTGTTCGCTCCTTTTCTACCTAGATTATTTGCTTTTTCATTGCCTTTTATCCCTTGGTGAGCAGGCACCCAGTGTAGGAGGACTTTGTTTTCTTTGCCTAATTTATTCAGCTTCTCTATGTATTCTTTGACCAATTTCGAATTGATTGAGACTGAGTTGATCGCCTTTAACGCTGCTTGACTATCAGATAAGATGGCTATTTCTTGTTTCCGATAGTTCCTATCTAAGATAAGTTGTACGCATCTCTCGATAGCGTAGATTTCTGCCTGTAGGATACTAGGGTAAGTGCCCATTGGTTCGGAGTAATTAGCTCTCGGCCCAACACTCCGATCCCTCTTCCCGTATTGGTTTTGGAAGCATCAGTATACCAAGTTATGGTATGGTCTTTTAACTGCTGGGCAAGCGTTTCGCTCTTCCAATCCTTCTTATTGCTCAATACTACATTGACATGTTTGTCAAAGTTGTACGTTCTTGGCATATCGTCCACTGAGAGTTGCAGAAGTGGTATTTCCTTTTTGAGGGTGTTCCAAGCCCCTGATCTGACAATTCTCCCAGTACTAATTCCGTTAGTGCATTTATAGTAACTTTTACCATCAAAATTTCATTGGAATAAATAAAAGCACTTGGAAGAAAATCATAATAAATAGAAAAAAACGAGACTTTAACCTCCTGTAACTACGAAACAATGCAGAATCTGATCTATGTTGATATGACGCCATGACGGGTTTATATTGTTGCGGACCGGTGTGGACTCGACCTAACCTAACAATATGGCCCGCCCTCGGATGACGTTAACATCGCATAGACACCGTAATGATTCATTCGAAGATTCGAGAAGGATCGAGTCCCACTGGAATGGAGTAGTACATACGAGAACATTCGAAACCTTCTCTATGCACCTAACGATCTATGGACTATTCTAGTAAACTTTAACTGTAGGTATAAAAGCTGGCGGCTGTGGCCTAGAGAGGGCAGTTATAAATATACCAGTGCAGTTGACGCGCTAAAATTCAAAATAAATTCTTAGTTATAAATCGTTTGTAAATAGTTCTATGTCTTTTATCGTTATTGTTTTTGTTAACTAGTATTAAATAAATAGTGTTTAAATAAATTGTGACTTTCTATCCACACGGAACCGACGAAAAACGTAACAATTGGTGTCAGGTGTGGGGTACGCAAGGCGAAATAGAAGATCGTGCTGGGACCGTGAGAACCTGCAGCTTTGATCCCCCTGATTCGGAGATGTCCTTTGACGATTTCATGGCCCGATACAACAGCAGTGGGAAGGCTCGCTATGGTGTAACCAAAGAAGATCAACGAGACCTCTTTTCCCTGCCTCCTGATTATTTGCTCGCTCATTGTGTAGCCCGAGATTTGCGGATGTCCAGGAATCGCTGCGACGTTCAATGAGAAGTTTGGGCGGGTCGGAGAACTACGCCGACAGGATCCAGAGGTTGGAAGCATCTTGAGGCTAACCGACAATGCACATGGTCAAGCAAGACACATCTTCTACCTGGTCACTAAGGAATGGTCGCCGAGTAAGCCGACTTATCTCAATGTATGGAAGACCCTGATTGAACTCAGAAAATATATACCGTGTGGTGCATCGGAACGCGGGACTTAGGAAATCCCATGTAAAATTTGAAAAGCCCAAATATTATCTCCCCAGATGATTTTATGCAAAAATTGTAATAGAGTTTAATGAAGAAGCGTTAAAGTTGTACTGTCGTCTAGAATTTTGTTTAATTTGGAATAGGAATCTAAAAGATATTTGCAATAATCTACCTTGAAATTACTAAAAATTTATAATTCGGCCCAGAGAAAGCTAATTAAAATACCAGCAGAAATATGATTTTTTTATCTCATTGTCAAATTCGATGTCACATTTTTTTTTTGTTTACAAGAATTGATGTGGTTTGAAAATGGTGGTTCATTTTTTTCATCTGCAAAAGAATTTCAGAATATTCAAGTCATTTTTGTATTCTTCTTGTTCAATTATTTTTGTCTTCACACTTCCATGTGCTTAATACCTTAGTGCCTGTAGTTTCAAACCTTTGGTTTTTGGTTTATTTTTTAAACTGTTGACTAATTTGGCATAGGCTTTTAAGAGACTGAGCTGCGAACTGCGAATATATCTAACAAAGCGAGAATACCATTTCCAGGAAAACGCCGTTTAACAATCACAGTTTTTTTCAGAAGTTGGGAAATGCATAAATTATTTTATACAAAATTACTCTATTTGGCACCTTCAAATTCTTGTAAGCAAAATGTGACATCGAATTTGACAATGACACAATCAGATTTTTGCTGGTATTTTAATTGTAGATTCTCTGGGCCGCATGCCGCATTATAAATATTACTAATTTGAAGGTAGATTTTTGCAAATAACTTCTAAATTACTACTTTAAATGAAACGAAATTCTAGACAACTCTCCCAGAAAAGTCTAATACAACTATTGCATAAAATTATCTGTAAAATAATATATGATATAAAAAATGTCTATACCTATGTGGCGGATTCATCTGTCCAAAAAAATCTTTTATGGGTATTTCGCCACTGCACTGCAAGAAAAATCTACAAAATAAAATAGTTATTTTTTGTACACACTTCTGCGTTAAACCTAAACGGACGCTGCTTGTCAGAAGTTGTGTTTACAGTAATAAAAATTTGCCTAACAAAGAAAAAAATGCTTAACGTTTCGGAAAGTTTTCTCTTTCCGTCGTCGGAAGCAAAAAAAAAT